GTATATCCTTCTGCAATGCCCTTTGCTTTAGGTTAGGATGTGCCCTTTGGTAAAGAACTTGACCTTTGACCTGCTTTCACGTTTCTGAGTCCTGGCGAGATACCCCTTCACGATGCTTTACTTTTACAAGGCCTGTATCGGGTAAAGGCCCTTTTAATACGGTCGTTATCTCGGTATCTTACGCTGAAAGTTGGACCAAATACAGCTGTAATGATCGTATGTGCTCATCGGGGGAAGACGGTAGTTATAACTTACTAGTTATTAACTTATTATTAATTAAATTTTGGTCTTGTGAACTAGAAACAACTTGCTTTCACCAGTTAGTAATCACTAATAAATAGTAAATACTAATAATTTAGTAAATGGTACTAAACACTCGTTCAGGGGTCCTTCGGTCTCAGCAGGAGAAGGCATCTGAGCGTACTACTTGCTCCCCAAATGGACAAGGAGCCAGGACCATGAGGACATCCTTAAAGATTAAGCTTAATTTTTGTTTTTTAAAAAGGGGGCGGTTTGGGGGCGAAGAAAAAACAACATAATCGCTAGTAGTTGTTAAAAAAATTGGCAAACACTGACACAGGTGGCTTGTTAGATAAACAGCAATAGTTGGGGTCAATGTTTTTGAAGCATAGAAACCATGATTTCCACTGTAGTCGGAAGAAAAACAGTTCACCTTGTCTTGATATAGAATTCCATGATCTGACGTGGCAAATAAGGTTATGACCTGGACCTCAGTCTCGCTTCGCGCTGCGAGCCCATCGGACTGCAATTGCTGTACATCCTGGAGAGACATGGTTAATGGCCACACGTATGAAGGGGACGCAGGAAAAAGTCAGGAACTTGTACCGTTGTACGCCATGGAGAAGATTGCTCTATTTCGAGTCCTTTTGTTTTGTTGGAAATTTGTCCTTCATTGCTTTGAACAGGGCCTTACGGTCCTGGCTCCGTTCTATTCTGAGGAGCACCAGTTCGGTTCCTATTCCACCGGCAAGTCATTTGAGAATAAGACGGATAGAAGACCCAACATACGCTTTCCGTCGTTAACAGCCAGAGGGACCTCCAACAGCATTGATGATTGCTGCAACCCAAGGAGGACCAACTATCGGGATATGCCCATGCAAGTTTTTGACCCCCTCCCTGTCTAGTATTGACTCTTTTTTAGGGAAAAAAAAGAGGCTCCTTTCAATTGGGAGGGAGCACCACCTGCTACGAATCGGGCCCCGCGTCTCTTGAAAAGCAACAACACAATAGATCTCTTATAAAGTTTAAGCTCCCCGGTTCCCCAATTTACAGGCCCAGGGACCCCTGACGACATTGATTGCTTCCCATGGAGGGGTTGTCTCGTACCTAGCAGGTTGCCTGACGAGAACCATGATAGCTATTATGATATCTCCGCTGAAAAAACTGAAGCGCGCTTTTCCAGCGTACTAGAGCGAAACAAAGAAAAGACGAAGATAATAAGATATCACATATTGTCGATTCCAGATTCTTCTTCGTAGGTACCCAAATGTTTAGGCTGCGGCCGCTGAGCTATTTTGCAATACAGTTGTTGTCCATTGCTGGAATTGAATGCTGGCTGTGCCCATACTGCTACTACAAGAATTAGCAACACCCAAGAACTTCTGCTGATTTCGGTTCCTTGTCGCTCCTCTTCTGCCTACCACTCTGAAATCTGATTCTTCTGTTGTATCCATTTCCAGTAGCAACTTGAGTCCCTCCCTCTTCTGCTTCCCAAATCACAATACTCTTAAAGCAGTCCCTCTTCAATGGTCAGATCATGCAGAGGCTGTAGGGATGCAACCCTCTGAAAGCAGTCCCGTCTGCAGGATGACCAGCCCCTTGGAAATGTTTTGAAATTCTGTTAGCAGAGTACATGGATCCACGGGACAGTTTGTAATTTGAGGTTACTACCGTCATAACCCGAATAAAATGCCTGGTAATTATTGCTGCATCTGTACTGAAAGTTTCCCAAATACAGCTATGGTGACCACACGTTCTATTTGGGCGAAGACCGCGGTAGCCATACCTCTCGTGTCCTATCCCGTATCTGGATGGCCTTGGAGCACACTGGAAGAAGGGGTGGGAAAAAAACATTTTCAACTGTGCCTTCTTCTTTGCATTATGCACATAATTCCGTTTGTCGGACTTTGTCCACTTCTTATTTCCTTACTCCTTCGTTCGTTCACCCACTGATTCATTGGAAGACACGCAAAGATGTACGTCAGCATAGGATGTTCCGTAATCGGGACAGCTCCACACCCATGTGCTCCTTACCATCTCTGGCTTAGCATGACATTTGTGCCACGTGAGCGGATTCAGAGTCTGCTTCCGAGTTTTGTCATATAATCCAGCAAATCGATTATGAGGATCATGTCAAAAAGTGCTCCTTTCAGCTTCCATGCCTATTCCATCGGATCTATTTCCATTTCTCGATTTATGCGTGTCACCCTTGCGCAGGGGCCATGCTAGTCTTCTCTGTATCGTTCCAATTTTAACGGATGTCCCTCCCGAAGGACTATTGGATCCATTTCCAAGTTCTGTATACTGTGATCTTGCAATATATATAGGTGAAACTCTGACGAAACAGTTTGTCACAGCCCCTCGTTTGTTGTCCTCTTCTCCCTCTCTGCCTACGGTTTACCGGCCAGCTCTGTTTGACTATATATATATATATATTATATGGCACAGAAATATCCATTCTCTACTAGATGACCCGTTGCGGCTTCGCCCGCAAAAACAGACAAAGAAAAAAGCACAAAAGAAAGAAAACGCATAAGGAACTGCCCTATCATATGCCGCTTCTTTCACAATAAGAAAAAGAAGAGCCTGAGAGCAGACGGAAACCCGCGTGCAAGAAAATAGCAGGGAATACCACCGAACATTCTTTTTTCTTTATCTTTGTGTGTTTTGTTTGGGGAGCCGTTACCTTTGCAGCATCGTTTTTGTTTTGTGCTGTGCAAGAACTCTGGACTTTTCTGAGGAAATCCAGTCCGTTGTCCCGTTGATGTTTTTGGTGAAGATTCAGAATCACACTCTGTTTGCTGTGTTCTCTGGATATGTTTGTGATCAAGCT